AGCTGTCTTCCTAGTCCTCTCAATGGGCAGTGTGTGTGTGTGTGTTTTCAAAACAGGGTTTCTCAATGTAGTTCTGTCTGTCCCGGAACTAGCTTTGTAGACCAGACTGATCTCAAACTCAGAGATTCGCCTGCCTCTGCCTCCACTTCCCGAGTGCTGGGATTAAATGCAGGCACTGCCTGCCACTCAGCTCTCTAAAATATTTTTTTTTTAATCCTAGTATTTTGGAGGTAGAGGCAGGAGGATGAGGAGTTCAAGGTCAGCCTCCTTCATAGTGAGTCTGAATTTTTAAAGACCCTATCTCAACAGAACTCTCTGTCTGTGTGTGTGTGTGTGTGTGTGTGTGTGTGTGTGTGTGTGTGTGTGTGTGATAGGGCTAGGGATGAAACCCAGGCCATTGGACATGCTAAATAAAATGTTCTACCACTGAGGTATACAGACAGAAACTTAAACACAAGTGTTCATGATTGTATTATTTATAACCAAAAAAGTAAAAACAGCCCAAATGTGACTGAATAAACAAAGCATGATCTATCCACCTACACACTGAGAAGATCTCACTCAGTAGTAAAAAGGCATAAACTACTAATCCCTCAGCAAACACTTGGGAAGAGATAAAGCCTCAAAAATACTATGCTCTTTTGGGAGAAGCCAGGAACAAAAGTTCACACAATCCCGTTTCTAAGTGTCTGGAAATGGGAGCTCTCTCTATACAGCTAGAAAGTAGATCAGTCCCTGAGGCTTGATAGCAGGAATGGAAGCTATTCTGAGGAGGACAAGGGTTCTCATAAGTGATATCTTATTGATAAAATTGGAGTTGAGCGGTGGTGGTGCATGCCTTTAATCCCAGTCATCCGGAGACACAGACAAGTGGATCTCTGTGAGTTAGAGAACAGCCTGGTCTACAGAGCAAGTTCCAGGACAGGTTCCAAAGCTATAGAGAGAACCCTGTCTCAAAAAACAAAAAACAAAACAAAACAAATTGGATTTTCCAGAGGCAGAATCTTGTGTAGCTCAGGTTGGCCTTGCACTTATAAAGCTGAGGATGGCCCCAAGTTCCTGAGTCTCCATTATCTCCTGAGTGCTGGGTTACAGGAGTGACCCATTGTGGCTGCTTTGTTTGGTCTTTTAAACAATTGTCTTTACTTATTTTGCAGGGTGATAAAGGATCATTTGCAGTAGTCATTTTTCTCCTTTCCTCGTGTGGGTCCTTGGAATTGAACTTGGGCTTGGTGATGAGTGTCTTTGCCTAAAGAACCATCTCACTGGCCTATACCTTGCTTATGTGGTACTGGGCCTTTTGCACGCTAGACAAGCACTTCTCAGTTTAGAATTGGATGATGAAGATGTTAAATTTAAACTGGGCAGTGGTGGTACATGTCTTTAATCCCAGCACTCGGGAGACAGAAGAAGGTGGATCTCTGAGTTTGAGGCCAGCCTGGTCTACACAGTGAGTTCCAGGACAGCCAGGGCTACAGAGAGAACCCTGTCTCAAAAAACAAAAACAAAGCAAAACAGTTTTAAAAACAGTGTGTACCTGGTGGCAGACACCTATAATCCATCTGCTTTGGAGGCTCAGGCCAGAAGGATCTGGAATTCATAGTCAGCGTGGGCTACCACGCTGAGACAGCTACAAAACTGAATAAGCCAAATAACAACCATGTCAAGCTAGAAGGGAGTTATGGGCAATAAGCAGTAGAATTCTTAGAGATTAGGAAACACAAACACTGGGAAGTTCTTTGGGGCCAGAAGGTTAGGGCTCTCTATGTCTCTATTTTTTCTAGGAGTAAGCTTAGCCAGGGAGCCCCTTCCTTCAAAATCGTTGGACATGGTGCCTCTGCCTTAGTTAAGAACTAGGCAGGCTGGGGGATGGAGACAGCCCAGATGTCAAGAGTACTTGGCCCTCTTCCAAAGATATTCGATTCCCAGCATTCATAAAGTGGCTCACAATCATCTGTAATTCCAGGTTCAGGGGATCCTACTCCCTCTTTTAGCCTCCAAAGGCACCAGGCATACACGTGGTATAAAAACACACATACGGGTTAAACACCCATACGCATAAAACAAAAATGAGTAAATGTTAATACAAAACAAAAATACTAGGTGGACAGCTAAGAAGGAATGCCTTCTGAGCTAGCCCCCAGGGGCTCTTCTTATTTCTTTTGTCCCTTTCTGGAGAGGTGTAATATAGGACCCAGAACCCAGCCAGTGTCTGTATCAGAAGCAGCCATCCCTCCTGTAGTAGGCGGAGGATTGACCCAGTGCCCTCTACTGTTCACTGTGGGGAGTGCAGCAGCTGAGCCGCCGACGTGAGGGATTGGTGAGATGGATGGGTCACTTCGTGTTCAGCTCTGCTGTGGTTGTGAGAAAACCACAACTGTTCCATTTTACTGAGAGAGACATTGAAGCACAGAAGGAATATCTAGGCAATCCTGCTCAGGATTGCATAGTTGCCCCCACCAAGTCTCCTGGAAAAAGATGGCGACTTGACAACAGTCACTTCAGCTGTAGCATACTCCTGTTACCCCCAGTGTTTTTAACTGCTTCCATGCCATCTGGGAAGGAAAGGCAGAAGGGGTTTCCCCTCCAGACTAGGACTCTTTAACAACACTGACCCCTTGCATTAAAGCCCTAAACTCGGGTTGGGGGAGCTGGCAGCTTTTGGAGTGGGAGAAGGAGGAGGCCTGTGAGCTGCATTGTTACATAATAGTTGCTGATTTATTCACATAGAGATCCACATGGTGCTGGGTGCAGGGCTGCAAATTCGAGAGACTCCAGAGAAAGGGAGGAGAAAGGAGTCTCCCAGGCCAGGCTCCTGCAACGGGCCAAGGCTGCCCTCAGGCCTTTATCAAAGAGACTAGAGACAAGCAGGGAACTAGATGCCTCTCCCACCAAGCCAAAAAGTCTTGCTGAGGCTTCCAACCCCCTCACTAGTGCAGATCATCCTCCTACCACACTTCTTCTAGCACGTGCGTATGTGAGTGTGTGTTTTTAAGGTGGGGTCAGGGCTCTAGGTGCAAAGGAGCCTTGGAGGTTAGTTAGATTCAGCCGGGGAAGCTGGCAGAATCCCAGGGATCCACTCACTTGGTGACAGTTGTTCCAGAGCTAGAACTCTGTCTTGTAGAGGACATCTGGGGTGGGGGGAGCTGAGAATCAGAACACTGAACCCCTTCTTCCACAAGTCCACTCTGGGGCCTTATCTTGGGCCTTTGCCAAGGGCAGGGTGCATGTGTGTGTGCAGGAACCCATCCTATGGCTTTCCTCCAGGCATTATTCGATGAGATTTAGAAAAATAGTGTTGCTATTGTCACTACTGGGAGGATGAGGATGCAAGCTGCATTGGTTGTCCTGTTGCAGAAAAAGTCTATCATGCATGCTTGTAAGTGTAGCACCCAGGAAGCTGAGGCAAGAGGATGGAGTACTAGGCTAGCACAGCTGCATGTGGTGAGACCCTATCAGGGAGGGAGGGAGAGCCAGGAAATGATACTGTATCCCTCAGTTTCATTCTACCTCTAACTCCTACATCAATCTCTTGTACTTTTGCAGACACAGGCAACTGTATCTAACAACCTGATGTTACAGTGCTGATGAACAGCCCAAGGACTCCTTCATTCATCCGTTTATTCACAAAAGTTTTTTGTGCCATTTGGGTTGGCAGTAGTGATATGGCAGTGATCAAGACTGAATTCTATCAGCTGCTGGGCTGTTCTGTGTAGCCAGGACACTAGCTCTTTCTAGTCTCCGCGGAGAGATCAACCAATACTAAGGAGCAAGCCTCTTCCACAGACTGAGTAGGTGTTTAGGAACTAAAGAAGGGATGCGAGAGGTGTGTGCATTATCAGATTATGTTGTGGGAATTCACTTTTGTGGGTGGAAAGTAAGAGTCTGCGTGTCTCCTTTAGTCCTTTCTACCCATTCGGGGAGCTCAGGACCTAGAGGGTCGAAACCGGGATTTGGAGGTTTCCGACTGTGCTGGTGCTTTGAAATTCCATTAAGAGGTGGGGTGCTTCCATATTTCTCTGAGAAAAGGAAACGAGCACCGAGAAAGCCAGCTTATGTCTTTCGTGGATCTGATGAAGTCCCCCTCCCCGAATTATTTTGTTTTATACATCTTGCACATACGTAGCGAATTCCTAACTATTCACCCAAGTGGTTTTTGTTGTTTTGAGTTCACTGGGTGCCAGACCCTGTTCTAGGCCCCCCCCCCAAGCCCCGAGCAAAGACCACAGGACACCTTAACGGCGCCTCCTTGCTATGCCAAGCTCGTAAGCCATCGATGCTTGGTTTCATCTTTCCCCTCCACATTGTTTTTGAGCTTGTTGCTGTGAATGCAAAGCTTCCAAAGGGCAGAAACAAACTTTCCATTTTACAGATACGGAAAACCCGCGACTGCTACGGGATAAAAGAGTGGCTGGATCTGTGAGCAGGTAAAATGATCCCAGGATGCCAACACGCCACCAGGAGCGTTGTGTCTGGCTCCTCGCACTTCCACTCGCGCGTGCCCAGACCCACGCGCCCCCATCCCTGCCTCCCAGCCCAGCAGCTCAGGGTCCACGTGTGTGTGTCTGGGTGCGGAATGGGGACGGGGGCCGTGCCGCCCGAGGGGTGGGGTCTGCGTGATGTCACAACAACAGCGACCAATCAGAGGCGGGCTCGCAGCCGCGGCGCTGGTATTGGGGCAGCGAGGGGGCAGTTCTCTATAACGCGGTCTCCGGAGCCAGCGGGGAAGAAAGAAGCCGAGAGGGCGGAAGGCGCCCTCCCCGCCGCTGGGCCCGGGCACCGGGCGCCGGGCTGGGGTCCTTCCCGCCGGCCGTGAGCGCCGGCCGCTTTGTTTGCCCCCGCCTCAGCGTTGAGGGGGGCGCGCCGGGAAGGCGGCGGCAGGAAGCGCGACCGATTGCGCCGAGGACGCGCGGGGACCCAGGAGTCCGGCCACCGCGAGGGCCGCGTGACGAGACCGCAGAGGGAGCCGGAGCGCCGCCGCGGGCCCCGGGTGGCGGGCCCGGGGCGCCCGTGAGCACAGACCTCCCCGTCGACGGGGGGCGATGTTCCCCTGGCCCGCCGGCTCTTCGGGCCGCCGGGGCATCCCGCCGTTGGGACCAGGGCCCCCACAGTGGGCGACCCCCAAGGCTGCTCCATGGAGACTCTGTGTCCTCCTCCCCGCCTGGCAGTGCCCGCGTCCCCGCGGGGGTCTCCTTGCTCGCCCACGCCCCGGAAGCCGCGTCGGGGGACCCCGGAGTTCTCCCCGCTGTGCCTGCGTGCCCTAGCCTTCTGCGCCCTTGCCAAACCCCGGCCGTCCGCCCTGGGCCTGGGGCCTGGAGAGCTGGCGCCTCGGACCCCGGTGCTTCTGAGCCCCCGGGCCTCGCCATGCACCGGCGGCCGGGCCGCGGACAGCCTGAAGCACCTCGGGGGACAGGCCGGGCTACCGAGCGACGTGAGCGCCGCGGCCCGCGAGGATGCAGACACCGCGGTGTGCCCAGGCGGCGGAGAGGAGGAAGAGGGCGGAGGCAGCTTCCCGCACTTCGGAGCCGGTTCCTGTGCACCTCCCGGCCGCTGCCCTACTCCCCGGCGTCCTCGGGAATCTCCGACCAGCTCCGCCTGGTCCCCGCCCAGGCCAGCCCCGGGTCTGGAGTCCCAGCCTGATGAAGCTAGCAGTCCGCCTCATGAACCCAGTTCCCGGCCTTCGCCGCCACCTGCGGGCCTCTCCCCGGAACCTGCGTCTCCAGAGCAGCCTGTGCATGGCTCGGCGGCTGCAGCGGCTGGAGACCCTGCCCCGGCCGCGCCCGAGGCACCCGCGCCCAGCCCCTCGACGGCAGACGCAGCGCCGGACGCGCCCGGTGATCTCCGCCAGGAGCATTTCAATCGCCTGATCCGCCGCTCGAAACTTTGGTGTTACGCGAAGGGCTTCGCCTTGGACACTCCAAGTTTACGCCGAGGGCCCGAACGGCCGGCAGCCAAATCCCGGGGAGCAGCCAAGAAACGCCGGCGGCCAGCGCCGCCCCCGCGCAGCGTGCAGCCCCGCCGGCCCGCCCCGACGCTCCCCACTTCGAGCACCTTCAGCCTCCTCGACTGCTTTCCCTGTCCCCCAGCCCTGGTGGTGGAAGAGGACGGAGACCTAGGGCCAGCTTCCTCGCTTCGCCTCCAGGGAGACGCAAAGCCTCCGCCTGCCCACCCGCTGTGGAGGTGGCAGATGGGAGGACCCGCTGTCCCCGAGCCCCCGGGCCTCAAATCCTGGTGGGTCAACTTGGAAGAGCTCTGAGCGTTCGGCCTCGTTTACCTGGGGGGTAAATTGGGTCCTGGGGCAGACTGAGGACTCCAGGAGGGTGTCTTGACTTTCAAAATTGTCTGCCTTCCCCCCCCCCCCCGCGTTTTATGGATTGTGTGTCAAGGGGACCTCAAATGACAGTGATCTTCGAGCACCTGAAAGGTCGGGGTGATTCCCTCCATCTTTGCGGAGGATCCAATGGCTGGCGTCCGGAAAAGCTGCGTGACCAGCCCCACCTCTGCCCTCAGCGGGCGGCCAGGGCCTTCACCCCAGGGGAGCAAAGCCTCTACTGCCCAGAGACCTAAAGAAAGGGACAGAGGGACGGACTTTGGTGATGGACAAACCGGTTGTTTCCGTGTTTGAGGACCAGTTTAGGGGTGTGGGAGTTGTGGGGTGGGTAGGTGATTGACAGCTCCCTGGGGGCATCTACCACCCCCATGGCTCAGACCTTTAACCCTTCCTTTTCAATTCCTAGCCCTACCTCTCCCCAAGTTCAGGTGATTCTCCGGTGCGAGAGCTTCAGTCTCTCGGCCAGCAAACTTTTGTCCACTTTTGGACTTTCTCTTTGCCGTAAGGTTTGATGGGTGAAAGAGACCTCCAGCCCCACCTTCCTCCCCCCCATAAAGAGGAGAGAGCAGAGGGCCCAAAGCTGGTTTTGTCTGGGGAAAGGGCCATTCCCATTCCCTGGGAAAATGTGGAAGAAATCAATAAAATCAGACCAAACAAGTCGTCTTTCGAGGTACTCTTTCCCCAGTTTGTGGATGGGATGGGGTGGGGTTAGACTAGTCTCAGTCCATTTTTCAGACATCCAAACTCAGCCCCTTAAACGAGGTGGGTACAGAACTGGCTGCAGAGAGGCAAATGGGGCGGGAGAGACTGGGGGCTTGGAGGGAACCTGGGCTGGGCGGGCCACCTTAAACGTTTTTTTAACCTCAGGCATTTTGGGAGTTGTCAGGGATCTGATGGATCAGAAGGGGGCAGGGCCTGGGGATTAGGTTTGGGGTCAGAGGTTCTGTTTTGCAGGCAGAGAGGAGCTAGGCCTGGACCACGCCCAGTCAAGAGGAGTCCTTGAGTCAGAAGGGTGGAATGGCTTTCTCTACACCAGGAGATCAGGTTCAGGGATGGGTGAGGCATGGAGGGTGACAGTACTGTGAGGGCTGCCCCTTACTGAGGGACCTAGTGGCTCTTGTGTTTACGCAAGTGACTAACACCCCTCATCCCCAAAACTGGGTGAGGAAGAACCGTTCCCACGTGACACTGGGGAAGGATGGTCTCCTTTTCCGTGAAGACGCTTTGTAGAAAGTTTACCGCTTGCAAAACGCAGATCCTGAAGAAAAAATTTAGATCTGTTGCCTTTCCCTGGGGGGGGGGGTGGGAAGGGGAGGGATGGGGTGGGTGGGCACTTTGGCTCTTTTTCCCTAACATCTGGCCTCTATGAACCCTGCTGACCTCCCCTCCCCCCTCCAGCTGTGTCCTGGGGAAGGGGTAGGAGGGTGCTTACCATTCCACTGGGGCTCAATGGTATCTGTCCCCTCTGCCCCCCAGGGATGCAAACGGGAAGGGAAAAGGCAGATTTGGGGAGTGGGGAGAAGCACCCTGAGAAGAGGATACGGGGAGACGTTGGGAAGGGCAGGTGCGCCATTTGTGGAGTGGCGGGTTGGGGCTTTGTGCCTTTTAATCGGCCTGGAGCTGGGGGCAGAGAGTGCAGCTCTACACAAGGAGCCTCTTCTAAGGGACAGGAAGGGCCGGGTAGCTTGGCTCCCCTCCCCCACTGGAAGGGTTTGTCCTCTACCTGACACAATTGGTCAGACCTAGAACCCCCCTCTGGGCAAGGTTTAATTTGCTTGAAGACTCTTGGAGCTCCAAGGCTTCCTGGAAACTTTTACAGAGTAGGGAGCAGAATTTGGTTTCTGATCTATCACTGCAAATTAGGACAGAGGCAACAGGTTTAAAACAGGATTTTTTTTTCCCCCCACTCAACACTTGAACAGGCCAGGACAAAATGATAGCATAGAGGCTCTGCTTTCCCCAGGCTCCAGGGGAGAGTCCCTTGCTTTCCAGCTTTTAATGGCCCCAGGCGGCTCCTCCCTCGTGGTCTGGAGGCCTGTCCTCACTTAAGGACAGCCTAGTATTGAGTTGATTGTGTGATTCCAAACTCAGTGTCTCCTACTGTTTTGAGACTGGGTCTTTGTAGGCGGTAGTGGCCTGGGCTTTGTGATGTAGACGAGGTTGAACTGAAACTCACTGTAATTCTGCCTCTGCATCTTAAGTGCAGGGACTGCAGGCATGTGCCACTGGCCCTTCAAGAACTCTTTTTCTTTTTCTTTTGGAGGGGGAGGGGGCGTTAAGACAGATTTCTCTGTGTAACAGTTCTGGCTGTCCTAGAACTTTCTGTAGACCAGGCTGGCCTCAAAGAGATCCTGCTGCTGGGATCCAAGTGCTAGGGATCAAAGGCGTGTGCCACTACCCCTGCTAAAGAGTCCCTTTCTTTCTTCCTTTTTTTGAGACAGGGTTTTTCTGTATTGCTTTGGACCCTGTCCTGAAACTAGCTCTGTAGACAGGCTGGCCTCCAACTCACAGAGATCTGCCTGCCTCAGCCTCCTCAGTGCTGGGACTAAAGGCGTGTCCCACCAAGAGGCTCTCCTTTTCTAAGAAAGGCCACATCACAGGTTCTTGAGGGATAGAATGTATCTTTGGGGGTTCTACCATTCAGTCCACTACAGAAGAGTCACAGAAAAAGGAAAGCTACTTAGGAAACATGATTACAGCATGGGCTGGGTTTGGGGTACACACAGATCCTCCCCAACTTGGACCACAGTCCCTTACAGGGAAAAGGCTGCTTGCTTCCTTCAGGCTGGCCTTGAAGATATTAGAAGTCACCCCCCCCCCTGCATCAGAGCCCCCAGAAAGGGTCAAGGGATGTGAGGAGAGGCTCCCTCCATCTTCCACCCTTTTCAGTTTGTCAGGGATGACATGACAAGGTCATAGGTCATAGGCTTGGCTTTTTTGTTTGTTTGTTTGTTTGTTTAATTTTTTTCCAAGACAGGGTTCTCTGTGTAGTCTTAGCTGTTCTGGAACTCACTCTGTAGACTAATCTGGCCTCGAACTCAGAGATCCACCTGCCTCTGCTTCCAAGTGCCATCACCTCCTGGCTAAGGTCTTGGCTTCTTACCAAGGTCTTTGTTTGTTTGTTTATTGAGGTAAGCTTTTGTGTAGCCCAGGATGATGAACTCACTGTAGTCAAAGCTGGCCTTGAAAAGCTGATCTTCCTGCCCCTAACCCCAGGGTGCTGGGTTACAGAGGAGTACCACTGCTCCCAGCTCCTTAGCAGGGTCCCTTATGTCCTCTTTTCAAAGAGTCTCCAAGGCATTTCCACATTGAGCCTCTGGGTTTTTGTCCCCCAGCCCCCAATCTCTGCAGGGCCCTGAACATCCTCCCTGCCTTCCATCCCCTCTCTTCCCCTGGCCTTCTCAGCTGCCTCCAGGCCCTTTGCCCCTTGCCCCTTAACCTGTTTGCAGCCTGGCTTCTGTCCTGAGAAGCCTTTTGTGAGAGTCAGAGGGTGACAGCCACACCCACACAGCCAGTAACCACTCCCTTTCTCAATCTCCGGGCTCCTGTGGCCTCTGATACTGCTGCTGGACATTCCTGATACCTTCCTGGTTCACTCTTGGGGTCCTCTGTCTATCTCCCTTCCGTCAGCTAGCTATTCTCTGTCCCTTGAGCCCCTCTCCTGAGCTTGGTTTCCACATCCCCAGGTGAACACTGACAACTTCTCTCCCTCTGTCCTCATCAGTCCCGGTCAAGTCTCTACCCTGTTTACTGTTCTGTCTCTTTCCATCACCTCCACATGACCTGACAGCTTAATGAGAACAATTCAAACCAACTGTATTTCCAGCCTGTACCCCCTCACCTCCCAAGAGGAGCAATCTGGAACAGAAATGGGTTCCAGAGCTACAGGAGGGAGGCACAAGCCTCCCAAGCGCTGGGATTGAAGGCGTGCACCGCCAACACCTGCCACCCTCTTTCTTTCCCTTCTTTCCTCCTTCCCTTCTCTGACAGCATCTTCCTGCTTCAGCCTCCCAAGCCCTGGGATTACAAGGGTGTACCACCACTGCTTGTGTGTCGTCCCCCCTCCCCTGTAGCTCTTGCATGGACCGCTTCTGTTCCAGCCTGCTCCTGTGTAGGCTCCCTGCACCCTGGACTGTTGCAGCAGCTACCTCTGGTCCAGCGTCTGCATGTTTCCTTTCCGTCAGGCTTCCTTCTTAGTGGGCTCTCTGGTTTTAGTCAATGTAACCTCCTTAGCCTGTCATTTGGGGCCCTGTGTTGTTTGGCCTTGACTCCTCTGTACAGCTTGGACTCCTTTACTTCATTACACACAGTGGGATCTACCACACTGGAAAATAATTCCTTCTTCCCTCTATACCCACCCATCCTTTATACTCATTCCCCCAGGCCCATTTGAAAATGACATATTTCCATGGAATCGTCGATTCTCCAGTTGAATGTGACCTATGCCATACCTAGATTTACTCTTTGTGTGTGTGTGTGTGTGTGTGCACCAGCGCACACTCGAGTGTGCACGCGAACATGTGCCATGTGGGGGGGGGTAGGTGTGTGTCATAGAGCGTATGTGGAAGTCAAGGACAACTTTGTAGAGTTGGTTATCTCCAGCCTCCTTTCCAAGGGTCCCAGGGACTAAACTCAGATTGTCAGGTTTGCACAGCAAGAGCTCTTACAGGCAGAGCCATCTCACGGCTCCTAGATCTTCAATCTTCATCTCCTGGGAGGAAAATAGGTCTTGGGGTCAGATGCTCCTCCCCCTCTTTGCGGAGGACTTGGGTCAGGAATCTACAGTACAGTCAATGCCTGAAGTAGGATGGGAAACAAGACTTGATCCCTCCCTCCCCTTAAGGTCTCTCCATAGACAGACAAGCTGTGCTACTCCAGCTGAGTGGATTGTCTTCTCTGGGCTTCCATGTCACTCCCTAAAACTCAGAGCGAAGCTGTCATTTCCTGGCGATGACCTGGGCTGAGCTAGAGTCTCTGCCGCAGGTCATCATCTCAGAATCATTCCTGCAGCTTAGCTGCCCAACTTGACAAGTTCCCTACAGAATGTTTATATTTTTCTTAAGATAAAGAGTTGGGCAGAGTGGTGGTGGTGGAGGCATATGCCCAGCACTTAGTAGGCAGAGGCAGGCGGTTCTCTGTGAGTTTGAGACCAGCCTGGTCTACAAGAGCTAGTTCCAGGACAGCCTCCAAGGCCACAGAGAAACCCTGTCTGGAAAAAACAAAACAAAAGAATTGGAGCCTGGCGGTGGTGGCACACGCCTTTAATACCCAGTGCTTGGGAGGCAGAGGCAGGTAGGTAGATCTCTGTGAGTTTGACGCTAGCCTGGTCTACAGAGTAAGTTCCAGGACAGCCAGAGTGGTTAAACAGAGAAACCCTGTCCCAAAACATCAAAACAAACAAACAAATAAATAAAATAAAAGATACAGCTGGGAAGTGGTGGTGCACCCCTCTAATCCCAGCACTAGAGAAGCAGAGTCAGGCAGATTTCAGTGAGTTCAAGACCAGCCTATTCTACAAAGCCCATTCCAGAGGACAGCCAGAACGGTTACATACAGAGAAACCCTGTCTCAAAAAAAAAAAAAAAAAAA